CTTACAGTTGCCAAGGTTGGAGATCCCTGGTCTGCAGCAAATATGTTAACACTGAAGATGTTCATATGAGCAAGACGTTACAGGTAGTCTTCAACTTACGACCACAACAGAGTCCAAAATTTCTGCTGTTAAGTGAGAACTTTGTTGAGTTTTGCCTGCCACCGTTGTTAAGTGAATCACTGCAGTTGGTGAATTAGTAACCCGGTTGTTAAGTGAATCTGGCTTCCCCACTGGCTTTGCTTGTCAGACGGTCGCAAAAAAGGGGATCCTGTGACCTTGGGACACAGCAAAGGTCATAAATATGAACCAGTTGCCAAGCATCTGGATTTTGATCACGTGACCATGGGGATGCTGCAGAGGTTGTAACCTTGAAAAACGGTCCTCAGTCACTTTTTTCAGTGCCGTTGTAACTTTGAACAGTCACTAAATGAACTGTTGTAAATCAAGGACTATCTGGACTGCTATCACTTCATGAGGCTCAAATCATAATGTTTAGGTGTTTTCTCTAATTAACGTATTTTAAAATGAGGCCTCGATCTGTGGAAGTGTACCTCTTGAGATGTGCTTGCACATATTCACAAACACGAGGATATTTGTTCCAAAGAATTCCGGTGAAAGGGAAGGCAGTACATCTGGGCTGATTTCTTGAAATTGCAGATTTTGGTCTGCTCAGCATATATGAATAAACATTTCCCATGAAATGCCCTGTAAAGCAAGATGATTTCTTCATAAATAAAATGCTGCCTCTCATCAAGTCAGCTCTGCCCATGTTCATCATACTTTCCTTGGAATAAACCGCATAGTTAGACAAATTTTTATCAACCAAAATGCCAGGGTTAGTCTGCATGGCTTTCTTTAATGAATAGAAAGGGTGTTTTTTTTTCCTTTAGAAAGAAATTATAACTTCAACTAATTAGCCTACCAACACACTGCATTTACATTTGTTAAACTGTGTTCGCACCCCATTTCTCTAACTGCTTGTCTCTACCCTACCGGCTGTTGCAATTTTATATAGCAGGCTATATAACTCTCTCAGGCTATGATGCTAAAATGTGGCTCTGCACCCAAGTCTGAGATGACCGAGCCTTTGTTAGTTTTTTATTGGTTTGGGGTATATTTGGTTGTTTTAGTTTTCCAGATGTACATGTTTTGTATTTGGTCTTTTCTGGGTACCGCTGTCCAAAGCCCTTTGGGAGGTAGATGGTCTCAAAACGTTATCATCATTACCATCATTACCATTGCAATACCTGGAGACAGAGGAATAGAAGAGAAAGAACTGGAGAAAACTAAACAAAAGTGCCTTTGTCCACAACTGTCCTGCTTTCCTCTTAATCATTAATATTTAGCTGATTTCTGACATTTTCCATCTCCCAAATCTGATCTTAGATCTTAAGCACATGTGCAACTTCCGTTGAAACAAATAGGCCACACTAGTCAGCTGAGCTAAAACATCTGGTTAAAGAAATAAACGCCTAAAGCTTTGAATGCTTTTATCCATTGCACCGTTGTAGCGATGCTCTAAATTACAGACCATCAGGAATCTTAGTTCATTAAAGTTTCCATGCAAATGTCCTTAGGCCAGGGCCTGTAAGATTTGGATGCTTCCAGGCTACAGAAATATTGATCCCGCCTCATTCACAACCATTTTCTTACTGCTTCTTTCATCTGCATATCACCAGCCACTATCCCCTTAAAAAAATCCATTAAAGAAAAATGTTAGTTGCACAATGTCTCTTAACCGGTGAATTAACAGGCATCTGAAAATATCCTTTGAAATAGAATATATGATTGCATATACCAGTACTTCTTAACACAATTAATCTACATGGGTTATCAAAGAAGGTATCTATACCACACCCCCATGTACTTGGGTGCAAACCTCACTGACTTCTGATTAGAGACTGATTCAATTGACAAACTGGGCAGGGCTTGTCTAGTGAAGAAAAGGACCAGAGGAGACATGATAGCAGTGTTGCAATATTTGAGGGGCTGCCACAGAGAGGAGGGGGTCAAGCTATTTTCCAAAGCACCTGAAGGCCAGACAAGGAATAATGGATGGAAACTGAACAAGGAGAGATTCAACCTGGAAATAAGGAGAAATTTTCTGACAGTGAGAACAATCAACCAATGGAACAGAAGTTGCCTTCAGAAGTTGTGGGAGCTTCAGCACTGGAAGCTTTCCAGGAGACTGGACTGCCATCTGTCAGAAATAGTGCGAGGTCTCTTGCTTGGGCGGGGGGGGGGTTGGACTAGATGACCTACAAGGTCCCTTCCAACTCTGTTAATCTAATCTAATCTAATTGCTAAATGGCTTGCCTTATTTTCAAAATAAAACCACCCTATTCCACTTCCCACAGATCAGCACCATCTGTCACTTAGTGAAAGCCAATGTCACAAGTAGAGGGATTTTGTTGCCTTGCCACAGTAGTTAGGGGATTTTTCACTTGATGTGGTTCCTGTTTTTTATGTTGAACTGCATTAGTTCCAATTTATGTACTCAAAGAACAAAAGCTTGGCTGGCTAATGAATGGAGTCAATTCAAGCTAAAAGACTGCAACATCGCTGCAAATGAAGTGATTGGAAAATTTATTAGGTTGCGCATCCTTCAGGACCTGTGAATTGAGTTAACCTCATGAGCCGGTTTAGTGTAGTAGACGAAGGCACCAGATAAAAAACTGGGCAAAATGTGAGTTGTAAACTTGTAGGCGCAAAGTCAACTGTGATAAATATGAGCACGAAACAACTGGATGCCTTTGGGCCAGTCACTCCCTCTCAGCTCTAGGAAGAAGGCAATGACAAGCCATTTCCAGAAATGTTGCCAAAAAAACCTCATGGACTTGTCCAGGCAGTTTACCAGGAGTCAAGACTGATTCAAAGGCACCTCCCCAGAAAAATCCTTTTCAAAAGGCACAAAGGAACAAGTAACATAAAAAGAAAGTGATCTGATGTACACTAGTTAACTAAATTGTAATATGCTAATCCAAAATTAATTAATGTAACATACGTCCCTAAAGAAAAAACAAATTGCCATTTCTACATTACCATTTGTTTAGGCTTTGCAATTCTCTAAACAGCAGAAAAGCAAAAATACTAACAGAAGAGTTTAAGAAAAATTTGAGAATCTCTAAAGACAAACACAGCATCTTAAGTTACAGAACCCTGGGCCATCACTAAATCCACCTCTTGAAAAGTTAACTGTTCATGCATTTTAATTTCTCATACTGTATGAATAAAAGAAACAGTCATAGCTGCCACTGACCGTCACAGCTGCCATCTTAACTTTTTTCGTAGCATCCTACAGACCAAGTACTTTTCTTATTCCAACAAACAGATCTACATCTTCAACTATATGGAACAAGAGAAAGAATTGCCCCCAGAAATAAAGAATGGGGAGTTCCAAAAAAAAAAAAAAAAAAAAAAGGAAATAAGCAGGTTTTACCTGCTTAAATAATTTCTGTTTTAAGATTTGTCTAGATTATAACAGCAAGCAAGCAATGTATAGCACAAAAATCAAAACCTTGTAGTTGTGAAATATTTTTTTATCGGTAGTAACATCAATCTCTTATTCATCATTCCCAGACACAGATTATCACTAGTTTTACAGTCTTAAGAAACTAAAATTCCTACTTCTACCACCAAGGACAACAAAACTTATTCCTGAACAGAATAAAAAAAGATCACAATGACATTGCAATTAGGCCAAAATTACATATATCTCCCCATCCAGCCTGGCTATTCAGAGAACCCAAAAGTTTTATTTCCCTGTGGCGTTCACCAGGCAGGCTTTCTCTAAAACAGCCCCCACTTTATGGTCGACCAATATTTTCATTTCAGCAATATTTGGAGCTCCCAACTTGCTGCAATTCCAGAAACAACTGAGTGCTGATTGAACACAGTTTTGATCCCACGTGACTGACAATGCATGCCTGTCTTGGGTACTATTTTTGCTTTTCTTTTGTGGCTAATTTTGGGTTTTTCTATTAAATTGGATGCAGTTCTTTAATGTCAGTTTTTTCTTTTCATTAAACATTGCACAGTACACCACCCAGAGTCCTTGGGGAGCAGGCCGCGTTATAAGTACTGGAAATAAACAAACACAATTAAATCAAACATGATTCACGCTTATGTAGCAGAACAGAAAAACCGGTAGTTCAAAGAAGCCTTATTATAAACAAAAGACACTTTTCCATCCATGGGCTGATGAAGCAGATTTTATTCCTCCTAAAACTGCCATCATTAAAAAAAAAAAAAAAACTAGTTTTCCCAATGCACAGAATGATGCATTTTTAAAATCTTCCTAGGGCAGCGATTTCAAATTCCCAACCGCTTCTGAGGGAGGGAGAGGAATCTTGTGGAAAGGCCTGCCAAAACTGCAAAATGCAGGTGCGAAAGCCCTTAAATAAGTTTTTTTTTTAAAAAAAAGGTATAAAAAGGATGCTCCAACCCCTTGCATTCGGATATGCAAAAAGAGAGAGAGAGAGGCAGGGATAATGATGGAGGCAAAATAAATGGAGGACACAGGCAGTTAAGATGCAGGCGGAAAGATGCTACTGCAGGGGGGGGGGGGGGCAGGTGGCCATGTCGTCCTGCTTGGCGTTTTATGGAGGGGGGGGAGAGGATATGCAATCCAAAATTGGGCACCACACGAAACAAAGAAAAAAAACCAAGGAAGGCCCATTATAAAAATATATGTATTATTCAATGAGGCATCAAGAGCAAGGAAACCATGCCGCATGCAAGCAAGGATGGGGAGAGGAGGGAAGGAAGGGGGGGGGGCCTCCCTCCTTACGGCCAAGAAGCCCCCCCCATAAAGAAACCCCCCTCCCCACCCAGTCAAAAAAAAAAAGAGGGGAGGCAGCAGCCACCTCTTTGGGGGCGCTCTTCCCCCCTCACCCACCCTCTGCGCCCCCCCCCCCACGGCGTTGCCAGGCAACCTCCAACGGTCACCCGGGCAGGGCCTGGTTTCCTCCTGCCGCGCGGGCGGGCGCGCGCGCCCTCACCTTCGTGTAGAGCTCGGAGGCCGCCATGGTGGTGGTGGTGGTGGTGGTGGAGGAGCAGCCGCCGCCTCCTCCTCCTCCTCCTCCTCCACTGCCTCCGCCGCCGTCTTCCCCAACCCGAGGTCGGTCGGGCCTCGGGGCCGGCTGGAGGAGCCGAAGGCGGGGCGGACGTGAGGGAGGGAGATAGAAAAAGAGAGAGAGGCGGTCGGTCGGTCGGTTAGGCGGCTTACTGGCTCCCCTCAGCCATGTCGCTACCTGAGATGCGCCGAGAGAGAAGGATGAGGAGATGCGGGCGGCCCCTCCGCCGTTGCCTCCGCCTCGTCAGGCATGCTGGGTACCGGCGGAGGCGCCCGAGCGTGCGCGCCGCCGTCCCCCGGGCGGATGGAGAGACCCTCTTTTTTTCACCCCCTTTTCTCCGGGTAGAGGCAGAGGGTGGTCGCGTAGGGGCGGTGGGGAGGGGGGGAAGGAGGAGGAAAGGGGGGGTCAGGGAAGCCTCCCTTGTTCGTTTGGGGTGTGGGGGGGGCTGCAGAAGCGACCCCCCCCCTCTTAAAATGGGAACCTTTCATGAGAAAGGAGGAATTCAAAAAAAAGGTTTGGAGGGAAGAGCAAGCAAGGTGATGAGGGGGTTGCTGGAGGGTGGAACATAGGAAGAAGGGTTGGAGGAATTGGGTGGTGGGTCTGGTTTAATGAAGAGGGCCTGGTGGCTCAGCAGACTGATAGCATTGTGATTAATATTCAGCTGTCTGCAATGACTGCAAGTTCGAATCTCACCAGGCTCAAGGTTGACTCAGCCTTCCATCCTTTCTAAGGTAGGTGAAATGAGCACCCAGTTTGTGGGGGCAATAAGCTGACTTGGTATAAAATATACAAAAGTATGAAGGCTATTGCTTAACGCATTGTAAGCCGCCCTGAGTCTCCGGAGAAGGGTGGCATATAAATCAATTTTTTTAAAAAAAAAGAAGGATTAAGGGGGGGACAATGATAGCACTGTTCAGATATTTGAGGGGCTGCCCCAAAGAAGAGGGAGTCCAGCTATTCTCCAAAGAGCCTTGGTGCCGCAGCAGACTAAAGTGCTGTTAAGTAGCACCAGCTGCCTGCAATTACTGCGAGTTCAAAATCTCACCAGGCTCAAGGTTGACTCAGCCTTCCATCCTTTCGAGGTAGGTAAAATGAGGAGCCGGATTGTGGGGGCAATAAGCTGACTTTGTATAAAAAAGAACACCGCTTTGGGGGGGAGGGGCGAAAGCCCTACTAAGCAGGTATATACAAAAAGTATGAAGGCTATTGCTTAACGCATTGTAAGCCGCCCTGAGTGTCCGGAGAAGGGCGGCATATAAATCGAACCAATAAATAAATAAATAATAAAACACCTGAGGGCAAGACAAGAAGTAATGGGTGGGAACTAATCGAGGAGAGAAGCAACCTAGAACTAAGGAGAAATTTCCTGACAGTGAGAACAATTAATCAGAGGAACAACTTGCCTCCAGAAGTTGTGAATGCTCCAACAATGGAGGTTTTTAAAAAGATGTTGGATAACCATTTGTCTGAAGTGGTGTAGGGTTTCCTGCCTAAGCGGGGTTGGACTAGAAGACCTCCCAGGTCCCTTCCAACTCTGTTATTCTATCCTATTCCTCAAGAATGAAAAGAAATCTTCCATCAGACCCAGTGAGACAGCCTGCGAGGGGGTCCTTCTTGCCCCGTGCCCTTAATACAGGTAGTTCTCGAGTTACAACTGTTCATTTAGTGACCATTCAGTTACAACGGCACTTAAAAAAATTGACTTGGGACTATTTTTTCAGAGTTATGACCTTGGTAGCATCCCCAGGATCATGTGATTAAAATTCAGGTGCTCAGCAACTGGTTCATATTTCTGACCGTTGCTGTGTCCCAAGATCATGGGATCCCCTTTTTTGCGACCTGACAAGCAAAGCCAATGGGGAAGCCAGATTCACTTAACAACCGGGTTACTAACTCACCAACTGCAGTGATTCATTTAACAACTGTGGCAAGAAAGGTTGTAATATGAGGCAGAACTCACTTAAGTGTCCCGCATAACAACAGAAATGTTGGCCTCAATTGTGGTTGTAAGTCGAGGACTACCTGTATTTGGGGGGGTGGGGGGGACGATGAGGATACACTAAACTGAGTTATGAATGATGGTAAGTCGAGGACTACTTGAAAAACCTGATTTAGACATCCCTGTGTTGGGATGGTTCCTCCATCATCCTAAACCAGAGATTCCTCCAGTCTTCATTTCATTAACCCATGAAAATATTCAGCAGGATCATGAAATAAGCCATAGACATACGTATGCACCCATCTTACTGTTGCTGTCTGGGTTATGTAGTCTCCAAGTAGCCATCAAACTCAACCCTACTTTTCAAGATCAGTCATGGATAAGTGCTGCCACCTGCTGCCAGTTCCTTTTTGTGTGTGTGTGTGTGTGAACAATATCTTGAATAAACCAATTTCACAGGCTGGGTCTGTAATACTGTATAGCAGGGGTCCTCACACTATGGCCCGCAGGCCGAATATGGCCCACCGAAGCCATTAATCTGGCCCACGCGGGACCATGAGGCTGCCCAGCCCACATCACCCCATCTACCCGCTGGCCCCCACCTGTCTTCTGGAGACTGAGGCGGCCAAAAACGGGACGCATGGAGGCCCCAGGAGGCCAAAAACAAGCTCTCACACACTCACTCCAAGGCAGCCACATCCCTTCACTAATCTGCTTTCCATCCCCAGGAGCATAACAAAGTTTAATCTGCATGTATTGTTTAATAGACTGCTAAATTAGCCATGACCACCCAGTCACATGACCACCTAGCCACGCCCACCCAGCTGGTCCAGGCCCCCAACAGTCTGAGGGACCGTGAATTGACCCCGTTTAAAAAGTTTGAGGACCCGTTGTATAGCAAGCCAAGCACGAGTGGTTATGTTATGTACACATGGCCGATTTGTGCTCAACAAAAGACTGGGCTTCCACTAATCTTAATCCAACAAAGTCCACCTGTTACGTTTCTTAGTGAAGCCCACAAAATAAATTGCAAGACCAGACAACCTATGACCCACTGAGTCATCCTTTTGAGAGAAAATAGTCTGATGTGACCACTTCCTGATGTTTGGTGTTATTTGTTGACTATATGACATCCTCCTCCTTTCCACGAGGCATAATTAAGCTGTTGGGTTTTTTTTACCCTGATGTTGGATGGTGTCATCTCAAAAGTGTATCGTGACTGTGAGACACTGCAGTGGCCAGAAGTTTGCAAATAAAACTGGTGTGAACATTGTGTAGATTCCATTAGGAGCGATGGCTTTTGGATGTTTTCTACATCTTTTAAACTAGCGGATTTGAGGTACCTTGATTCAGAAATTGTGGTATTAATACACCAGGAATGGAAGCCACTTCTGACTTTCTGCCAGCTTCCCCATTTATTATTTATTTATTGGATTTGTCAAAAACGAGAACAAGAATAGGAGAAAATACAATGACAGGGACAATAGGCACGTTAGTGCATTTATGTACAGCCCCTCTACTGACCACTGACTTTGCTTGCGGGAAAGCTAGCAGGGGGCATCAGAAATAATAATCACATGACCAAAGGGATGCTGCAACCACCAAAACTCAGCACATAAAAGTGGTGTGAACATTATGGAAATTTCAATTCCATAGGCATAACCGGTCCCAACTTTTAATGCTTCTTTAAATTGGCAGATTTGAGGTATATTGATTCAAAAAAATTTCCGGTACAACCAACCATTTGAGCCAACTGGAGGGTAAAAACAGGAGAATTTTAGTAGCATAATATAGATTAGGCCAAAAAATAAGACAGTTTACAAAGATTAACCAGGTGACTGGATTCTTAGCAGAAATGTGATAGCTATAGTGCTCTCCTTTAGTGTAATATTTTCATACTAAAGCTAATGACATTGGCCCCCTTCCCACACATTTCCAAAAATTCTGAAGCTCTCATAAAAGTTTAGTAAGGTCTATCAAACCCCAATTTGTAAGTTGGTTTACATTCAACTTGGCCGTTTTATCAACCAGAATAGATCCTATTCGTCTGGTTGTAAATAGAAGATATTTCTATTCAAATAATTAAAAGAGCTAAGGTTAGCTATGCAGGTGGAATTCAGCACCTTCATTTTACCAAAATTACAAGTACATCAGATCCCAATGTGTTATTGTATCTACAAAGAGGGTATACTGCAGATAAAAACATGGGACCTGCAATTTTGTACCAGAAAGTATCAGAGGAAGTCTGAACACTAAAGAGTTTACATAGTTCCTGCCCCTTCGGGGATTTGTCTGAAGAATCCTTTCTGATGATTCTCGGATTAATTTTCAGAATCAATTTTCATAAATGAATTGCATAGAAACAAGCCTATTAGTGTATTAAAATCAAATCATAACATTTAATACAATTTTTAGAAAAATAAGAACTGAGGTATATAGAGTTACAGTCAAGAACATTATAGGTTTAATATTGAAAACATACTAGAAAACAGAAGCTTTTTCCTTAATACAAAATTAATTCCATGGAAACCAATGCTTTTAGTCAGAATTAAGGAATTCAAGGCAGTTATTGTGGGTGGGTATGGGGGAAGGTGTATCAGTAAAACACCAGACAAAAGTTTCTACAGAGCAGTGAAAACTAATTGTATTTATTATGCATATTATACAGACTGAAAACTGTAGGGAGCAACCGAAATCCTCATTGCCTCGGGTTATGGAATGCATCAAAGGACTTATCAGAGCAGGCAATTCTGCATACACATGATCACACACAGATTCTTGCGACAATGGGCAGACTCGGTGGATGGAGCAGAAATGGGGAAAACTTTATCACTTGACACACTATTACTGAGCTACTGGGGAGGAGTTGGGAGGCTACCATTTATTTTGGGTACAGACATCCTTGAGCATTACTAATCACTGCATAAAGCAGATTGTTAGGCTGTAGTGCAGATCTCTGAAAAAGGTATCAAATGGTAAAACTCATATTATACAGTATATACACACACGTAACAGCTTTATCTTGTTGAAATAAACTGCAGTTTAGACGTCCATTCTCTCTTCTGAGAAATTATTACTGATCAAACTATTTGCATCCTTAATAGAAGACCAACCTATCTTCAGTTGCTGAGGTTTTTGAGACAGATTCATTATCAAAGCTGACTGGTACTGGAATAGCTATTTTTACAATCGTTCAGCTTGTGTTTTTGTATCCCTAACATTTGTCCAGTCTTATCAATACAAAAATATAAGCATTGTAAGCAGGAGAATGGAATGTTTAGATTGACATAGTTTATATACCTCCTTATCCACCAAACCAATT